TGTGTGTGTGTGTGTGTGTGTGTGTGTGTGTGTGTGTGTGTGTGTGTAAACAAGCTGTGAGTTTACAGCGACGTTGTTGTCGTGTAAGGTATTTCATTACCTGCGCTGTCACCTTATCTCACGATCTCCATGTAGAGAGGATGTGTTACTCTTCAAAACATTCGTTTATTGGCTTGTTAACGCTGTTTCTCCCCAAATATGGTTATTCTCACTCTCAGGATGATAAAGCCTCCCGCTGTTTCCCTCATGGAGGAAATTTTAAAAAGAGACATTTCAAAAAACACAGCAGTGCGTCTGTTGCGTAATGTAGGAATCATCAGCAGCCTGTGTTTTGGATGACTTGACACAGACATGATTGAGGTTAATTCAGAGCTGCTGAAACACACGATGAAGACTTTTTGGTTTTGTTGGCAGCTGTGAGCTGTTAAATTCTCTGTAGCAACACACCCTGATAGAGGACATGCTGGGGCCCCCCAGGGTCCCTGAAGAAGGGCCCATGTAGATAACTTACAGCTGAAATTGGTGAGACTATACATTAATGAATTGACTTATGTTGTCAATTTATAAATTATATCAAAAACAAAGCTGACATAAAAAAGGGTCAAATTTCCATAATTTTGGACTTAGAAAAAATGGACCTAAGTGTATTAAGTGCACCCACCAACTTCATGTGCTTAGGCTCATTATTTTATTCATGTATTTATTAGTATTTTGATATTTAATTAGAAAATGAAAGACATTCATGTCTCTCCATATTATGGTAATGTGACTCAGTGTGTGAGCAGGCCAGTGGACACTTCAGCAGCATGACGCAGGTCTCCGTCAAGGACGAGCTATTACTCAACCCTGAAAGCTGCAGAGTCAAAGGGACAGGTGACATTTGGTGTCGAGTAGTGCTTCAGGCCTGATGTGTTAACTGCATGCTAGGCTAACATCGCTAACACCTACAAGTATGAATAAAACAAATCAAGGACCAACTTCGTTCCAGACTGAAATATCTCAAAAACTATCTGATGGATTGCCGTGACATTTTGTGCAGATAGTTTCCCCAGAGGATGAATCCTACTCATTTTGGTGATTACCGACTTTTCATTTTGCACCATCATCAAGTCTAAATTTGAATTTGTCCAATACTTTATTCATGACCAAATGCCTGCAAAACCAATCACAGAATCGTCCTCAGCTGTAGGTGTTTATTAGCAAATGTTAGCATGAAAATAAGCTAGACTAAGTTGGTGAACATGGTAAACATGATAAACATATTAGCACTGTCTTTGTTAGCTGAAGTTGGTACCAACAGAAAGAGAGAAGAATGGGGGGAAAAAAAGAGATGATACTGCATCCAGCCACACATTAGGCCGTCGGACGCTTCCCCAAAAAACTACCAAACAACAAGTAAAAACGTAACAAAAAATGACCCATTTTCTAAAAACTAAGTAGCTGCAAAGAGACACACCAGTCAACTGAGTCACATCAATCTGCAGAGACTGTTGCTTTCCTGCCCCCCCTTCATAAAGACTTGCACAATTAGGCCAGATTAGGAACACCTGAAGTGACAACGAGGTTAGGAGAAATGCAACAAAGAACCAGCAGGAGGACAGGAAGTAGCGCTAACTTGAGGACATCACATTTCATATTTGGTGTCAGTTTGTTGTTGGGCACTGTGTGAAGTGATTTACTCAGAAATCAGCAGGTGTCAGGCCTGAACTGCAGACTGACTTCCTGCTCCTTTTGGGTTCTTTTTACCCTCAGTCTAATCCTCAGTAGTGAAATGTACTACATTGGACTATCGTGTGTTGGTCCGTGAATTTAGGATCAATGAGAGTCATTTAAAATGTTTTCTTATTTTTCCTATATGGTAAATTTCATTTATAAAACTGTCCTAGAACTCACTGCAATACAATCAATGATAAGAGTCTGAATATTAGTTCATGTCACTGACAACATAACAATTTGTAATTGAGAAAACATTGAAGAATCGGCCAAAAATTGAGAATTTGTTCATACGCACAAGTTGCACCCTGCTGCATTGTTGTAAAATTGGGGGATGATGTGTAAAAAAAACTTTATCCAACATGGATGTAAAAAATTTGTGAAGAATACTGTTGCTGAAAAGTCTGAAGTTTACCCTTATAAGTCACGGTTTCAGTTGTGCCCCTTTTATTGTGTTTATAAAACAAGTTTAAGAGTTTAAAAGAATGCAAGGACACGAGAAGGAGAACTCATTACTGGAGAAAAACATTAGTGTCGCCCCCCCCCCCCTCGGTGATCATGTGTGTTTTTGAGTGAAATGTGACGACAGAAGTTCTGAAATCCACAGAGGAGATGAAGTGGTCCTGCTGAGGCCCGGAGAGTGTCCTTGAAGCAAAACACTGCATCCTTACGTGTTCAATGAAGAGATCAGCCTGAAACTAGAGACTCGCAGCTTTTATGTCCCTATGAGGGACTTTTACATGGACACAAGATTCAGCTTTTCAAGTTTATTGTTTTACTAATCACGAAAACTGTGCAGCACAAAATGTACCAGGTCCAAAGATTAGATTTTCGAATTTTATAACTTCATACAAATTTACTGTAGGCCTACTTGATTTTCAGATCTGAGTGAACATTTAGGCGATCGATAGAAAATTCATCAACAACTATTTTGATAATAGATTCAGTTTTCAAGCTCTCTTCATAGCAAAAACGCCAAACAATTAATGGTTCCAGCTTCTTAAATGTGAGGATCATCTCTACAAAGAAACAAGAACTCCTTTCCGAATAAGGACTTGTCGTACCCTTTAGAGTTGTAACAGTCATCATGGATAAAAGAGGCTTGTATTATACTGCATTAAATGGTTAATCATGTAACATCCTCCACTGTTATTGCCTTTGTATTCTTCCTATTCACATTCAATCTGACTCATCCAGTCCTTTTTAAAATCAGAGCGAGATCACTTTTATATTTCCGATTGTACTCCGCATGAGAGATAAAAAAACAAAAGAGGGATATAAATAGTGCGAGTGTGTACTGTGTTGTCGTACACGAGTGGGCGTGGAGGTTGAGGCCCGAGTATATAACGCTCCTCTGTGATGACTGGATGGGACGAGCAGGAAGCGTGGGGAGATAAACAAAAGCTCTGTTCTGTATCAGCGCTCGCAGATTGAAATATCAGCGACTGTGCGACCTCATGAAGGCCCTCTGCTGATGAATCACCTCTGCTGAACAATTTCAAAAATTGCAATAGACACAGGAGTGTGATTCCCAAAGGTGACATGGAGGTGGAAGATGGAAAGAAAGACATGACATGAACACTGCGGCTCCAAATGTAACTGTAATACAGTAGAAGTTATGAGTGTGCGATATGGGGATATTGCATGTGATTCAAATGTTTCCACGACCTGCTTTTACAGAGAGATCGTGGGTATCGTGCTCAAAGTAGGCTACTACGGCTCCAGCCTTTCATCCGACAAATAATATAGCGTCTGCTATCTAAACAAATCCAGTGTGTCTGATACAGACGCAAAGGGCACCCTTCAGCGTCTTGTCCCAAAGAGTTGTAGAGTTAGTTTTGGAGTTACGGTGGTACGGTGAGGTTTGTGAAGTGTTTTCTGCACTTGCGTTGCATTTTACTTAGCTTCTGCAGTTATCTTAAGCCCAACCATGGTGTTATTCTCTCAGAGGACAGACATCTTAATTTATCATGTTTGAAAAGTTGTGGCAGCATAAAATGTTGCAGCTGATAGGATGAGTCAAGACTGCTGAGAGTATTTCATGGTGAGGATGATTCCCTCAGGATCCGTTCAGACAAGACGGAAGAAATATTACGTTCATAAGCTCATCAGCAATTTGCAAAAACAGAATTGCTTCTCTTTTCTTGTCATTTTTGCTGACAGCTGGAAGAAACACGACCAGAAAAAACCGAGACTGATTCCCAGAGTCGATGTTGTCTATAAAGAATATAGACATTTCCACCTCATTAGAGCACCTGGAGGGTCACTGTCTGACAGCCGCCGATGATTCACCATCCAAATGCAGACGATAAACAAAATTTCAATTAACTTGCAGGATAACCCCTAGAGACGTAGCATCCCGTTTTCCTATAGACACAAAAACTAAATTATAAAACGCATACAGACAAAAATAGCATTACATAACATAATATACACTACAAGCTCGCTCACCCTCTCCCACCTACTCCCTCAGCCCTTGTACAAGAAAACAAAGACAGTGACCCGGATAATATATCAGTTATCAGCATGAAGAGCAAGTAATGCAGTTTGTCGTCAGCTTGATTGAAAGAATGCACAAATTAGTTGCATAAACAGGTCGATTTAAGATGAGGAAGTAAAGATGTCCTTAAGTAGTGGAAAGAGGTCATCTCAACATCTAACAGATGGATTGCCATGAAATTCTGTACAGACATTCGTATCCTCGGTTTAAATCTTAATAACTTTGGTTTACGACATAACGTTTCATCTAGCGCCATCTTCAGGTCAAAATATCAATTTGTTCAATACTTAGGTTTATGATGAAATACCTGAAAAACGAATGACATTCCCGTCGCCTTAGCTGGACTAGAATAAAACGATTAACACGGTGAACTTTACACCAGCTACAAATCTGATTCTCAATATTGTCATAGTGTGCATGTTAGCATCTAGCTCAGGTTGTGTGTCACATGCTGCTGCCATAGTTTGAAGTATGGCATTATAAAGGCTTTTTGGAAATTGCAAAAACAGACAAAACTTCCTCAATTGCGCGAAATTTTTTTACAATCGCCTTTTTTGTCTTTGAAAAAGAGTTGATGCGCTGAATGGGTTATGGAAACACCTTTGCCGAATAAGTCCAAAAATAGCGAAAACATTTACCTCTCATGACTAATCAGCTGTTTCTGCTGTCAGCGTCTTCTCGGATATTCCCATGATGCGCAAATGCTTGTCTTTGTCTCCTGACAGCAACAAATATGACCAATACTAGCTGACATGAAAGCACCACAGCCTGACAGAGCCACTAGCATAGGCTCCTAGTCTCATTTCAACTCAAACTTAACATGAAGTCTGGCAAAGTTCCCCTGGAAAATGTAAACAAGCCTACACTGAAACGTTCCTGTTAAACTCCTCACCACCAGACACTTCAGCATAAAATTAAGTGCCGGCAGAAATCTGTCTGGGTGTCACATCTCACCAGATGGAGGTCTGCAGCCCGTCTGTTTGGGGTCGCTGACGTGAAAACCTGCAGGACCTTCAGTCGTCTAGCTCCGGTCTCATTTACTGAAACTCTGAAGGAACAAAACATACAGTCATTTCACAAAGTTTTCAGTTCTGTTCCAGCTAACATTCTGCAGACATCAGCTGCTAATCAAGATGCAGAAATGTTTCTCAGATTGGAGCAAATTAAGAAGCAAAAAAGGAGCTGCTGTTTGTGATTATTCTTCTGGGGGTTTAACACAAAATTATTCATATATTCAGTTTTCTACCATTTAGGAAAACACACATTTATCAGAAGTCTAAACATGGGGGCTTGTTTGAAGAAGGGAACAGCATCTGCCTTTGCCAGAATAAATTACTAACTTTATTCTATTGTTAAAGCAAATAATTATACAACAACATTTAAAGTGTTTTTGGGTTGTCCGTCCTTCTGTCCTTCCGTCTGTCAAAGATGAACCGATTAGATTTTGGTGGGCAAAGGTGGCTGTAAATTTACAAAACAATTTCCCCAGGAGGACGTGTTCTTAACCATCAATATATTTTCACAGAGCTTGTTATGGGCAGTGCAGTGTGAAAGATTTAACGTCAGTAATTCATTAGTTTTAACAAAAATAAGGAATAATGTGTTTTTTTTTAGTTTTTGTTTCAGAGGCTCATTCACTACATCGCTGTGAATATTTTCTGTGCGAGCTTCTCTCTGAAGTGTGAAACTGATACTCACCCCCCGAGGTCGGCGTCATAATCCTGCCCGAACAGCTGAGATTCATAAACTCACGACCTCTACGCTGTTTTTACTGCTCAGAGTTCTCACTGTGTTGAAAATGTTGTCTGAATTTGTCCTCTGATAATCGCTGACGATGGTCTCGTCTCCTCCCTGTGTGTCTTTGTAGAGCAGCATGAGGCTGAGGAGTCCCGCTGGGATCTGAGAGGGAGGAATTCGGCCCCCCAGCGGTGTAGACGGACCCCAGACTCCAAACCCCCGCAGCTCGGAAGGGACCAGCTTTTTGACTTCACGTGGACGACAGGGATTCACACATCACCTCAGGGGTTTTGGCGCTTCTGATTGGACGTTGCCTCAGTTCATCCGGCCCACAGGCTTTTGTTTTCTTCCAGCTTCAACTTATTATTATTTTTTTTCAGGTGATGATGCCGTTGTAACTTTATTTTCCATTAGCAAAGATGGAAAAGTTTTCAGCCACCACCACTGAGTGGGTGGGTTATTCAAAGGAGCCCGGTGGAGCTTTTTGGAGAATTGAAGTGGATGTTTGCTGCTGTTGAAACACCTGTGAAGCTGCAGAGTTCATCTGTAATCTTGTGAAAAAACGTCTGTGCGTGTTTATCCTGAGACTCAGACACATTTTCATGTAAATGAGTGCTGCAGCGGAGCTGATTTCTAAAACATCTGGACGGATACAGAAGATTCCCTAACAGATTTAGATTTCCTGCTGTTTTCTAAATGCTAAAATACGCAATAACACTTTTTTTTGAGGGTGCTGCTCTTTACTGACGGACAGCCCTTCACAAACACAACTAAGGCTGGAACTGCAGGACGTCTTATTGACTGAATGTTTCTGGATTTTGAACTGTTATTAATTCACTTTATCATCATTTTTAACTTCTTTTGAAAATTCTAAGGATCTTGGAAATTATTTTCTTGATCATTTCAACAAGAATGCAGAAGCCATTTTGAAGACTGTTTACATTTTTTGAAGTATTGAGTGAAAGAGCGGCCATCTTGAAACAAGCCTGTCATTGTGATGATTTTGAAGGATGAACTGACTTCAATGCATCAGTTTTCAAGGGAAGCGGCTTATCCGTCATCGCCAGAGAAGCAAGCTGCTGGTAACAGCTTTCATCACCTGCTTTTATTTAGTTAGTTTCCACTTTGGACTACAGCCCATAGGATAGCAGCATTTTAATCAGCAATATCTTTTTTTATCACAGAATGTGATAAAAGTGCCAGAATTTGTTTTTATTGACCCCAGAGAGACGAGCCACAAGCTTGCCGAGTTTAACATCGTCCAGAGGAAAACAGGACCTCTCGTTCATCCCATCCTGTGCGTCTGAATTCGCCTCGCGAGGGGGAACTCTCAGTCCGTCCCGTCACCGCCATGGTGATGTCGCATGGCACCTACACCTTCCTGGCCTGTTTCGCCGGCTTCTGGTTGGTCTGGGCCGTCATCGTCATGCTCTGCTGTTTCTGCAGCTTCCTGCAGCGCAGGCTGAAGTGCCGCCACGAGGAGCGCCTGAGGGAGCAATGTCTGCGGACCGTGGAGATGGAGCCACTCAGCTGTCACCCCGGGGGATACCCGCCTCCTCCTCCTCCTCCCCAGCCTCCACCACCACCTTTACAGCTGCCCAGGGAGCCGCCGCAGTTTTGCCCTCCTCAAACCCTGTCGCCGCCTCTTCCTCTGCAGGTCCCTCATCTCATGCCACAGGCAAACTGGGTCAGCATGCCAGGTAACGCAAAGGAATTGTTATTCTACTGTGTTTGTATAGTACTATGTTTTAAGCTGTTGCTGAACGGTTCTTTAAACAGTTTTACTAGGAAATGTAGTGGAGGGAAGGTGAAGTGGGGAAGGATGTAATGGAGGAACTTGGGGTCAATTTTTAAAAAGGTGACACAAAATGGCTTTTAGTTCAAGTGTTGCCTCAATATACAAATTATCAAACCTCAACATACAGTATATCACATTTTTGAACATTTGGTATCATGCACCTTTCAGATCTCGAGAGCACAAAGCATGCTAACAGGAAGAACTGGTACCAAGTGAAAGTTATGTGCGTTTGTTCAATCGGCGGTCAAACTCTCATGAGATTAAAAAGCTACAAACTCCAACATCATTTTAACAACCTTCAGGTCAACACGCGATCGACCGTAAAAATCAAATTGTTCGGAGCTGCTCACCAGCAATTCCAGCTGCTTTTTGTTCAAGATATTGGGCCTCAATAGTGTATGAATCAATACGTAGCCAGCACTCAACGGAGCGCTTTTCTTTCCTCATCTCTCCCAAGCTGTATTTCAACACTAGCAGTCTAAATATTAACTACTGCATCCATTAGCCTCAACATTCAACTCACTGCAGGTCTTCTCTCAAGCAGAACATTAATCTCTTCTCTAATGCTGAGTGATTACTCACAAATATCAAACCTCTTTCCCTTTATTTACGGACCAAATGCGTATTTCATTCATAAGATGCAAAATGTGTACTCTTGAACAAAAAACACAAGACAAAAAGAATGAGAAACATGGAATAAATTCACAACATCCATATGAGGAATTCAGATGCAGACAGAGAGGCAGAGGACCAGGAGGGGGATTTTATTTTTCACTGTCAGATTTTTTTTTTTTTTTAGACACTTCGCTTCCCAGCTTCCACCTCCCTGCCAGCCGGGCAGTGTTCCCCCGCAGGGGCGTGATGGTGACAGCTGCCGCTGAGGCGTGGGTGGCGACTGTAGAGGCCCAGTGGTGACGGAGCGAGTAGCAACACGACCGGGCTAAACTCGGAGAGAAACAAAACGACGGCAAGAAAGAGATAGATGGAGAATGTAGAGCTAGCAGGAGCACTGCTGGTTGAGAGAGGGAACAGAGAGAGAGAGAGAGGAGGGGGGGGGGGGGGGTCTCCATCTTAAAGGATAGGTTTTTCCCTTATGTATGTAGAAAGATTTATTGATCACTGTAATCATTCCTCCATGAAGCCTTCTCTTCCTGATGTAATTAGCTTTTAAAAAATGTCCTTGTTCTGTGTTAGAATGTATTCTCAAGTTCAGCAAAAGCTAATGTGAGGCTTCAGCAGTCTGAGTCACTCTTCTTTTACTTCAGGGGCCATGAAGTCAATCAAAAGGGGTCGCGAGATACTACCCCCGTAGGAAATATATATAAAAAAACTGTAATGACCAGGCACTAGTAGACATTGATTGTACTTTGTCAGTTTAACTAGGGGTATTGGACTGGAGAAGGATCCGTGAGCCGGGGATCGAACAGCTGATCTTTTAATTAGTGTATGACTCGCGCTTGCTCCTGACCCACAGCTATCTGATAGATGACGTCCCTCCAGGCAAAAGCAATAGCTGGTTCAGTTGTTGATCCAGCTGGTAAAACAGAAACTCTGGATCAATCAATCAACAAGATTTGGATAATGATTTTGACACCTGGAACCAGATCCATCGGGTATAAAAGCTCTCTTTAATCAACACCCTGCCTCGTTCACACAGTCCCAGCTGCCAGCTACAAACACAGACCGACACTGCAGGTCACTGAGCTGCTCCACTTGTGCTTTTGGCGGTTAAGTGTTTTACTCAAGGGCAACTCAACTCTTCAAATACAGAGAGGGAGTTTGCAGCCATGAGCCTTCCTTCCTATCCCCACCCAAAACTTGTCAATTGTTGCTAAGGCAAAAGTCGATGTGTAACGCAATTCTTATGGAAATGTGGTAACGAATTTTGCGAACATTCTGCTCCACCATCCTGGCTAACACTTCAAATACTGACTCTTTAGGTATGTCATATATGGAAGTGAAGGACCCAATGGAAATCTTACGAGCTCTAAGTGACGTTAGAGCAACATGTACAGCAGATGTGCAACAGTGTTTCATCAAATACTAACTTCGCAAAGATTAAAAGATGCTGCTGTCTCTTATAGCAATACGGAGAGGAAGAATGAATCCTGAAATGATTTACAGAAAGAAAAAAAACCAATAAAGCAATAAAAGAAGAATTAGAAAGCAATGAAGGAGGAAGAAGAGCACGAAGCTCCAAATATCTGTACAGAGTAAAGACGTGGGAAAGAGGGATTTTTGGAGAGTGGAAGGAAAGCTGGAGTGAGTAAAAGAGCATCAGCTGCTGTCAAAGATGTTTAATGAGCACAGACAGACAGCACCAGATAAAACAAAAGGTTGCTGGAGTCTCGGTCACAAAGCAGACTGATGAAGAGGTTTAGTATCCAGGCAGCAGCAGAGCTAAAAGAGAAGCAGGTGCCGACTAGCTGAGCACAACAGAGGACTGAGAGAGGAGCCAGGAGCTGCTTCGGTCGTATTTACCAGAGGGGAGAGAGGGGCGTGGAGATGGTGAGAGTGGTGGGACACAAGCAGAATCACATCAGCTCTCACACTCATTTGACTTCTACATTTACACTTCTTCAGAAAGCTACGCAGTATCATGAAAGTCAAGTGTAAATGCATCCAAAAGCCATTGGAAACGGAACGAAATTTGATCACTCAAGGCTTAAGAATGAACATGTATCGTGTTTGTTTAACCCGATGCCACTCAGGTGCCAGTTTATTAGGCACACCAAGCCAAAACTGAAGCGGTCCAATACAAAAATCCTGCAATAAAACATAACTTCATGGAGGTTGTAACGTAAAGCTTTTGCTGAGACAGTTTCACGGAGGCTGCAGCTTATAGTGTTTCTATTTAGCGTAGGCTCATGGATATAAATGCACAAAATAGAAACACCTTTCAGTAAAACATAATTAAATTCTCCAAAAATGATCATACAGTTAAATCTGAAACAAAAACTGAACTGGCAGCAGAAGGCAGTCTTGGAGTCGAGAGCGTTGAATGCTTACGGCAAAGACAATATCATTTTAAAGCATCTAAAAGACGGTAAAAACGTACGGGTTTTGCTCCAAAAACACAGATTTCATGCACATCCCACACAGCCAGCATGTCTCGCTCTGACAGTATGTTCACACTGGGAGCAGCTCTCACAAGACGCTCAGTTCAGACAGTGGTGGGTGATGATTCCTCCTCTGCAGCCGTCTGCAGCCACAGAGTTCTGAACGGGAAAAATCATGAAAAAGATCGGTGCTTGGGTTCAAATAACTACGGATGGCATTACTGAAGCACGGAAGTTATGTGGCGAATAAACCAACGTTGACAACTGGTTTCATATGGGACATGAACAGTGGACACCCGGGTGAAAGTCCAGTGTTTTTGAATCCATCAATTCACCACGACTTTCCATTGCTGATGCCAGTTTATATTCACCATGCATGAGCAGAGTGAACAAACTCAGTCAACTGAGAGTGCAGGTTTAGGATCAGTTTGTTAAACCTGCTTTCTGAAACAAGGCCCTGATATACAGGAATAAAACTGCACCTAAAATGAATAAAAGCATGTAGTGCAGATTCAACCACACGCACTGTAAGTCATGTTTCAGTGTAATCCACTCACCATGACCAATATGATCACCATGATTTATACAGTAGCTGTCACAGATCACTGTATCACAAAGTCACACACTTTATCCCCACAGAGCTGCTGCAAACGAAACCCCTCTGATCCTCAGAACATCAGTCCCATGTGTTTCTGCTGATGTTTATTTAAAGCCGTCCTGGCAGCTGGTATTTATGACAGCAGAGAGAGATGGACGGGGGAGTTAACAATGAAAGTCTGATCCTGGAGGAGGGATGGACTTTGGTCAGGTACACACACACACACACATTTGCATCTATAAATACATCCGGCTCCATGGCAACAGTACAACAAAACAGCTGTTGATTCACCACTGGGATGTTTGCTATTGAGGATGTAAACAGGTTCAAGCTGTGGATTGGTTGTGATCATCAGGGACTCTTGGAACTCAGGATCATTTACATCAAATAGTTATTCATATTTTCCACCAACAGACAGCAAACTTGAACTTTTGTGAAGGGTTGTCCCACTTTTCCAGCTGGGTTTCCCCCGTGTCCTGACAAATATCTGTAAAACACTAAAATGTCCCGGTTTTCAATGGTCACGACCAATGACATGGTTTGGCTAAGATCAGATGCTATAATCTCTCCTCGCTTATGAGCAAAGACGAGCATACAAAACATTCAGGTAGCAGCTACTGAAGGCCGAAGATACTGTTTTTTCCCAAAAGAGCCTCTGCAAGAAATTCATAAGCCGAGCTACTGTTGAAGCAGAGAGCTTGTGCAACATTTCGACAAATATTGATCAGGATCTGGGCAGATTCATCAGCCCAAAATATTTTCCTTTATACTGACAATACGTTAGAATATAGACTCAGTCTTACAGTATGTCCACAGGCTCTCTGAAAGGTCAGAGGCATTTTAGAAAAATATTGCATTTGTGAACTTTTTGTTTTGCAGCATAGATGCCATTTCCTGGAAAATCTTATTTGTGTGCTTGTATATCTCTACACTAAAACATATTCACACTAAATCTAACATATTCAGTATTTTTTCTTTAATAGCAGCCAGAAGAAAATGTCAAACCAATTGTTTTCACTACGAAGTCAAATGTAGCGCCTTGTTTTCTGCTGTTTCAACCACATGATGGGAGATTGTATCTGATACAGTAGAATAAATAAAAAGAAAAAGCATCGCTCCATTACTCATGTCAGCTGTAGCTGCTGAAATGCCCTCAGCATAACACAGGGACATTTAAATCCTATTAACCCATAACAAAATGTAAACAAGTTTTGTGTCATTAATACCCCTCTATTAATAATCTATCAAATGGACTGAAACACACCAGTACACAACAGCACTGTTAAGGTTGGGGGAACAACAGGGCTCAGTGAAGAGGGAGAGCGGCACCCTGTTCACAATGTGATTATCTATCTTGTTGCACAAAGTGCTGCATTGCAGTTCCTCCATTAGCAACGATGCTTCAGTCTGCAAGTGGGAAACGAGTGTGCCTGAAATAAGAGCAAGTGATAAAGACAGAGAGAGTTCAGACCAAATGTGCTGTGATGGTTTTTGTTCCAACAGCTGAACACACTGTCACATGCATCACAGCAGGATGTTGTGTATTGCAAGCGTTCGGTTTGTGACCTGAAGATGAAGTGCGTTTTGTGTTGCACACTGACACACACGTGTATATTCATGTATTTGTATGGATATTGCTTCAGCGTTAGCAGCTCAGTGCACATGCTCAGTAGTGTCTATTGTCAGCTTTTCTAGCCTCTACCAGAAAGAGTAATTATTGACCTTATATGCCGTTTGATATGTCTTGTCAACAGTTTTACAGGTGTCCCATTATGATGGTGGTCTATGGGGGTTTATTTTAGGTTGCAGTACTGCAGATGGCCTCTGGGACAAATTGGCAGCAAAGCTGACTTGCAGAAATGTTGGTGTATGTCGTGACAGACTGGTCTCATTCAGCATTCGTAGCTATACCTACAAAACATTGTGCACTGTAATTCGTAGATATCCCACGAAAGTATTTTGTACGTTATATACGTAATGCATATGGAAGTATAGAGACAGAAAAAGCACATGCAGAGTGGGCAGGATGGGACCAACAACCAACAACCTTTCAGCCAGGAGGACCGGTGTTTGTCCCCCATGTGAAACGAGAAGTCAATGTTGATTTATTCCTCACGTGACTTGCATAATGTAGTTACGGCACTTTCATGGTTATTTTAAGCCAAACGAAGAATATTTCCGAAATCAAACTAAGTGGTTGTGTCCTAAACCGTTGTAATTAATTCCAGTCTTCTTTTTTTTCCCCAGACACAGACCTATTTGGGAAACCACCTTGCTATGAGGAGGCAGTTCTGATGGAAGATCCTCCTCCGCCCTACAGTGAGGTCTTGGCAGACCCGCGGGGGGGCACCTACCTGAAGCCAGCCCCGCTCCGAACCGCACCACCTCCGCATCTGAGGGAACACCAGGATCCTGCTCCAGTGTTCACATCCGAGCCCAGCAAGCCTCCCGTGACGGCTGTGTTCCCCGAGCGAGGTTACTCCTCCCTGATACGCCTGCCTTCGTCCCAGCGCTGGGACTCCCTGGGTCATCTCCTGTCCAACATGGACCTGAACCACAACAACCTCACCCCGCCGGGGGCCCGCTCCATCCAGGCTGCCGCCGCGATGGCTACCATGCCCCGCCGAGAGCCCAGGACTCACCATGATGGACTTGGGCTGAGAGGTGGAATACAAGGACTCCAAGGAAACATACATGGACTCCAAGGAAGCATACAAGGACTTCAAGGAGGCATACATGGTCTTCGAGGAGGGATACAAGGACTCCAAGGGGGGATCCAGGGTTTCCAAGGAGGGTTACAGGGGCTTCAGGGGGTCCATAGTCTGAGGGGTCTGGAGCCCAGCTGTGGCCTGCCAACAGCCTTCCCCCTGCTGGGTCGTAGCACCGCTGTCTAGACCGGGATGCTTACTGGAGTCGTCTAACTAACCAATAAGTTGGCCCATCACTGAAGAGCCTTCAAGGAGGAGATCTACAAAGACAGACTTACTGTCTGTGTGCCTCCTCTGCGTGTTTGCAGCACTAACACTGCTAGTAGTAGAGATTTAATTCCCTGAAAGGGCTAAAGGAGTGTTAAAGAGCCGCGACAGGCGTCAGGAGTTCAATTCCCCCACGCGGCTCTGTAGGCAAAGGGCGCCACTTACTCTGCTGGGATCGTTGGCTTTCGAGCATGTGTGCGAGTAAAGGAGGAAATTACACTGCGTTTCACGGCATTGTTAAGTCATCCCGGTGTCATATTTTGACGCTAATTGAGTCAAGGTCCTTTTGAAGAACAGAGGAGAAGAGAAAAGGACCAGTAACGCGGTAAAAGGACGATCAACAGGCACAACTGCTTCTCTACCTTTCATCCAGACTCCCTTCATTTTCCTCTCCACCTCCCCCCTCTCGTGTCACCCTCTCATTCTGCTCAACTCATCTCGTCTCTCTCTGTGTGCCGGAGCAGCCTATTGTACCAGTCTGCCGTTGCCATGGCTCCCGGGAACTGTCTGTTGCCCACGACGACCTCTCCTCTTTTATGTGCTCCGATTCTTCGGAGAGTCTGCTCACGGCTCGTCTGTCTGAGTATTTACAGTTTCAAAAGAACACGTGGTGACACTTCGGTGGGACTCGGGCCACCGTGTTCGTGACGTTAGTGCCCGAAGGCCAGTTTTTACACGGACAGCCGAAACAAAAAGGTAGAGTCCAAGAAGCTCTCCAGAGGACCAAGTGTGCTTGGATTGCATTTTGTATCATGCTGCTTCGTTGTTTGCAATGTCTTTACTACAAACTGTTGCCGTTTGTCTTCAATCCGGAAGCTCGGGTTTTGGTGCTCACAGGATGACGTCAGCTGGGTCATTTGAGTGAAAAACATTTTTTTCATGTACAAATTTATCATCATTCTTCTAAGCTTTGTGACAAATGCCTTTTCTCTTGTGAAATAAAAACATCTTCACCAGCTAGGCTTCTTCCAATAATTTAAGGAGTAGAAAATGTCACCGCAAAATACCATAAAATATTGGATTCCTCTCTCTGGAGCGTTTTTTAAATTGAAATTAAAGCCATTAACATCACTAGATGTGTTCTGGATTCATTTGCATTAACATCTCCTTTACAGTGTCAAATAATACTATACATTTTTACAATGCATCTGGTGGCAATGAACATTATTAGTATTAGGCACCAAAACAGCTATACATAACACAGAAAACTCAAACAATAAAGAAGAATTATTTATTAGATATATTGTTATATATTATTATTTGATTCCCCCTTCCTCCGAACACATTTGATTAAACCTCATAAAAGTGCTTCACGGTGGGGGAGTCCTGCAGTAGTGCCTCACAAAGGTACCATGTAGTTAATGTTTAGTGGAAAATCAAATACTCAACGTCGCCCTGCTGCTGTAGGCACTCTGGAAATTTGACTGGATTTTTATTTTACGGTTCTATATTTCAACCATGCCATAATATCTGGTACTTCAGTTTCACATCTAACATCGTGGAGTTGTGAGTTTTTGTGTGTGGCCCTTACATTCTGTATCAAATATTCAGGAGTTAATTAGTAAAATCCATTGAGCCTGTCAATGTTTCCTACTGGCTCACCTGCAAAATCCAGAACTGTCTTAGCTTAAAAGCTGATCATGTACAGCTTTGACTTCATCCTATCACCTTGTGCAAAGAGCAAAGTTGTTTGAAACTGTCACACACGCACTCCAGAGGACGCCTGAATCAGTGATGTCGCATCAGCTGTGAAAAGTTAAACACCTGCTTCACATCATTAATTATGTGGCCTGAGGTGAAACACGAGGTGAAACACGTGAAGCAACGAGTGTACTGCAGCAGCGGCTTTTTTAACCTACAGCATCTGAATCTGTGTTGATTCACCCTTCAAACAGATCTACAATTACGATCATCACATTTTCAAATCCAAAGCCGAGTTCGACTGAGCAACGACTGCAGCAGTTTATTTAAATGTCAACATCCTCTCCCTGATTCCCTGCTGCCACAAAATAATGTCAATAATGGTTTTAAGTTATCATAATCATTTCCAACTCTGACTTCCATCAAGGTGGAGAGCCTCAATAATAATGCTGCAGCGCATTATGATCATAAAATGCAAAGTAAAATGAGTCGGGATTGGCAGTAGGTTAAAAGTATAATATACTTTTGTTCAGAAAATGACATTTTCTTGAGCATTTGTTGTTCTTTTAAGCATTTTTATCCTTGTATCTTCTATTCTGTGTGTTTATGTGCTTTAGCATTTGCTTCTGGGTAATCTATACATGCATGTTGTTAGAAAAATTCACTCGAGGCCGATGTAAAAATCATTAAACAGGACATTTATTCTTGCAAGGAGACAGAGTTGGTTCACATACAGTATATGCATCAAGGCTGCTCAGAGGTCTGCCTCTGAGTCTCTAATATATATACTTGAATAACAACAGGCAGTGTGGTGGCACAGGGTAATTTACGATAAGTCAAGTCACACATGGATAACATACACACGTATTGCGTTTCACACAGCGTAATCTTCACAAAACCTGGAACAACACTTTAACAGTTTGTTCTGGTACAAAGGTCTTTCTATGAAATCAGGAAGTCTTGGTTGCAAATCAGCTCTGTATCAAGTATTGACGTCTTCTACAGCTTTATTATCTCTTATTTAGGACAGACATCTGCTAGCCCCCAAGAGGAGAGATATCTGAGACGCTTGGTGTCAGAGGAGGTTTCACACAACCAGACATGCGAGGACACAGGCCTCGAAAGCTCACATGTGGGACATAAGTCTTTGTAAGTCAAAAAAAAAAAAGTAAGGTTTTATTTGCACTGTGCTGCAAAGGGGCCACACTGCTTCTTGCACTGGCACTGAACGTTGGCATTGGGCGTCCAATGGGAACATAAATCCTACAGACACTGGGCTGCAAACTCAAGCTGCTCTTATTAACGGTCACAATGTCAGAACATTTGTGTGTCCTGTTGAGTTCAATCCCATTCATATGGAATTACAGAAACCCATTTCAGATTGAGTTATGTACTCAGATCTGCCTGATATATTAAAAAAAACATATTAGAAATACATGACAGGAGCTGCAAGAAGCTGTCAATCTCGGTCATCAAACCAGTCCCTCCAGGCTGATGATTGACAGGCGATCAAACATGACATGTTCACACCTTCAGACTAAATATTTGTTGGCCTCGAGAAAACTGAGAAATGGATTGCGCAACTGAAGAGGAGCGTCTCATCCTCAAGACGTGCACAAGACAAAAAGCTTGATGATGATTCAGCCTGCGAGGTTACATAAAGAGAGAGCGGCCGTTCAATACCGCTTCCACAGCTACAGATGTGCTCTCCAGTAATAAAAGATCCGTGCAGAGAGAAAGAGACAAAATCCTCGACGCTTTTCAATAACACAGAGTGACGTCTTCATGTTGCCGTTGTTCATTTTGTGCTTTTCTTTTTGTCTCTGTATAGATTTTAAATTTTGAGATATTTTTGTAACAAAGACCGACGTGCCTGGATTCTTACAAAACCACGATTTGATAAACACCCAACTAGTCGAGCATGTTGTTCATTTTGTCATTCATCGTACAACTCAGATTATCACAAAAAGTATACAAATTAAGCTTCTAACATGATTCCATTTTAATTCTGTTAAATGGACTTCGACGTCTGTGAATTCTTTCCAAAATGTTGATGAAAGATGTACAATGAAATGATTAATAGGCCTCTTTTCACAGCAGCCATTTTGACATGTCATGGCAGGGTAAACACAGGTGTCATTAGTAACATTAATTATGGCCCTGATGTTGTCCATGCTGGCTCACTGGAACGGCTGTGACTGAACACAACAGACCATAATCAATGGGATCAGTTACACCTGTGTTTACTCTGCTATGGCGCGTCACAATGGCTGCTGTGAAAAGGGCTCATTACTAATGCAGGGTATGAATTTATCATTAATGAAACCGACAGATGTCTATGTGTGTCAAATGTGCCTTTAAACAACTGGAAAGCCTCCACAAGCACAGACGTCACATCTTCTGTATTTAACTTGTGTAGCAAAAGAAATTGGGGTTTTAACAAGCAGCCAGCACAAAGGATCGGACTACCCTTAAATTGGACTTTTCTAGCTGAAAGTAAACTGGTTTGTAGGCAGAGGAAAAGTCTTTTGATGTTCAAATTTGCCACATCTATTCTTTTGATATGCAGAGTAGTATATTTCACTGTTAAATCTTCTTTTTTTCTCACAAAAGTTTGTACTGACAGCAATAGTGCAATTATATATATATATATATATATAACACCTTTTCTAAGCAGTGGTCCCATGACTGTGACATTAAAGGCCTTAATCACATGTAGTGTTTTGTATTCCATTAAAGGTTTCTATTCATGCCTGTGGGAGTAAAAGATTATAAAGTCTGAGGTGTGAAGTAGTGTCCTCATAGCTGACAGGGGGACATTTATTCAAAAAGGTCACAACATTGATGACAAAGACGAAGTTTCCTTGGCAACAATCCGAGAGTTTGACACCCAGCGTGACTCCTCCTGCTGCCACTGGAAGACAGTTTTTAACAGGAAAAAAATTAAAAACGACACACCGCTGAGATTTTCTTCTGAGTCAAACGTCAAATATCGAGCCTGGGACGGCATCTGTGAGAGGACGTGTTGCCTGTAAAGAGAGAACATCAGCCCAGCAAAATAAACGCTCCTCATCTCGTGTAATGCACCTTTAAGGATTAGTCAGGTTGTGCTGCCTTTGAGACTAGTCATGTGTCTCAGTCATTTGGGCCCCACTTCATGTTCCAAATTAACAATTTGTCGCTCCAAAACACTAAATAAAGATGGCAGGGTGGTATTTAGGTATTTTATTGTCTTAAGTTTTAAGAATCAGTTATTACTCACAAGCTAAACAGAAATGAACTGTCTGTTTCATAATCAACAATGGCTACCAGTTTAATCAAAATGTCCTCAGTCTCAAGGTTGAAAACTGTCTGCAGCTTCACACAAACACAGAAGAATTTAATTTAATTTATTATACTATATTGATCCCTTGAAGCTGCTGCTTCCTTTCATCCATCTC